AAAAAAAAAAAAAAAGAGTAACGCAAGCGACGTCTCGGGGGCGGGGGAGGGAGTTGTCTCACCAACCTGCTTTTGATGTAAACCTTCCCCTCCCATTAGAAATTTCTTTGGGACACCGTGATGCACCAATTCCTTTTCTCCTTGATAAAAGACAAGGAGGACAAGCTGCAAGGAGCTGAGAGGCTCTTCCACGTCCTTCTGGAAAGTCAGCTTAAACCTGAGTTTTGTCTCGGCTTCCCATTTCACTACCAAAAGAGAAGAAGGAAACGGAAGATGGATACAAAGCAGGATCCCCCCCGTTCCCTTAAAAATAAACCACACGGGGTGCCATCCTGTCTCATCCTGTCCAGCAATCTTCTCTTCCTTCCCTCCTAGTCATCGGGGTTTTCACCCTGGCGTTTGAGCAGATGCTTTTCATCTTTTAAATTCGTTTTCGTTCTTTACTGTATTGAAAAACATGAAAAGAGTTGACCCGGGGGCATCCACAGGGTGTGGGCAGAGCTTCAATCACACCACTGTGCCTGCCATCTTGACTTTTTTGACCACATCCTGCGGGTGCCTCTGAATTGAATACCATCGACTTGCACTTACCTCTCAAGGAAAAATGGTACGTTCTGTTAGCAAGAGATGGACTGAGGGGAGCTTCAGCCAAACACCAGCTGGATTCACACACTGTTCGATGAGGCTAAGATGGAGCAGAGTAGACTGTGATTCAATGCATTGTGGGAATCCAGCCATTGGTTTAGCAGATTGTGTGAACCAGGCCAAGACCTCAAGATGCCATAATTTGGTGTATTTTGGGGGGAACATCATGTGGTACCCATGTTCTAGCAATTGGATTTGTTAACTCTCTGGCTAAGAGCAAGGTGTGAACTAAGCCAAAGAACCATAGAATTTAAAAAAGAAGAAAGGTGGCCATCTTGAGATGTAAACATAAGTCAATGGTATTCACATTCAGAGGATGTGGTCAAAAAAGTCAAGATGGTGTCCATCTAGTCTACCTCCTTTGTTATTTCCACCTTTTGGAATGACTGAGCTCTTGTCTGCCCATCCAGCAACGTTTCCTTCCATATTTGCTCACAAGATGGAGTCTGCATCCTGGGTCATCTTGATTTATTAAGTATTGCAAAACTACAAAAGGTTTGCTTTGCTCAATGCCATAGGACAGTGTTTCTCAACCTTGACCACTTTAAGATGTGTGGACTTCAAC